AAATATTCTCATTAAGCAGTTGAGTAAATGTTGTCTTCCTTAGAAATAAATTTTTAAATCTCTAGGATTTTATTGGGGTCATATAATATTTTGGACATAATAACTGCTTAATATTGGAGGAATAAAAGCATTGAAATGTAAGCTGTCATGATTCTATTATATTTACCTAGGACTTCACCTTATGTACACATAAATCTTAAATTATTTGATTTTCAAATACTGTGGTTCAATTTTAGAATTAGAATACGTGTGCATGGATGCAGATATGTCAACAAAAGCAATAGATTACAATTAAAATCTTGCTCATAAGGAAAATAGCAGGAAAAAAATAAGGCACAGAGCAAGAATTAAAGATTTAGTGGTCTAGGACCATTTAGTGTAAGAACAATAGTCCCCAAGGGCATAACTGCAGAAACAGGGCTGTGAAATAAATGATAGTTTAAATGATTATGAATCATCAATAAAAATTTGAATGGTCCACATATTTCCTATTTAATAAGGCTAACTACTATATAATCTTTGTGTTTTTTGAGAGTTGAAGACTTTTGAAAATGCTAGTGATTATAGAACAATTTTTAATTGTAGAGAGAGCTTGTTTATTCAGAACATTTCATTCTCCCTCAGAGACACATACATGAAATATTATGAGAATTTTGCTATCTAGACAACTTAACAAATTAGTAAAAGAAAAAGTGACATACAGATATTCTTTGATTATAGAGTTTTGGTTTTGCCATGAGGAAGGAAAGAAAAGCTGGCAATACTGGAATCTCTTCTAGGATGAACATTTTACCCATCCTGAAGCGAACATTCCCTGATGTTGAATAAAAGATTCTGTCCCTAGATGATTCTATCCCTAGAAAGCAGGCATCTAGGAAACACAGGTCGATGGAGAAGAGGAGACAGTAAATGCAACTTGGTACCAATAGATTTGAATAACCTGATGGATCTCCTGGCTTTCTATATCCCAAGTTACCTGTATGGGATGGTCTTCTTGCAGAACATGGGGATCTACAAAGCCATTAATGCAACAGAACACACATACACTCATGCACACCTGCACACACAGAAAGACAGTCCCACAGTGTCATATTATACATCAAAAGTGAGTCAGGAGTCCAGATAGGCTTGGATAGTTTCCCTGCTTGTATAGAAGTTATCAAAAAGAATCCACTTCCAAGGTCATTCAGGTTGTTGACACATTTCCTATTAGTGTAGGACTGAGGCCCCTGTTTCCTTGCTGGCTGGCTGGCTGCCAGTATTCATTCTCTATGCATACAGTTTACCTGCATTCCTTACGATGTACCCTCTTCCATCTTAACAGCTGTGACACATAAAATCCTTCTCATATTTTGAATCTTGCTGCCTTCTTCTATTTCTTTCTTCTGCCCCCGCAGAAAACTCTTCTCTTTTAAAGGCTAATATGTCTGATTGAGCCCACTTTGACAATTCAAGATATTCTCCCTAACTTAAGATCAACTGTAAAATATCACATAGTATCTTAAGAGTGCTATTTCTTCATATTTAGAGGTTCTGGGGATGAGAAGGGCACAACCCTGGGTGGCAGTTTAGAAATTTTGTCGATCACATATATTTTGGCATTTACTATATAGTAAAGAATATTATTTAGAATTTTTTCTAGTGTGGAACTTAATGAGGTGAGAAAAATAAGAAGATAAAGGAGGGAAAGACATTCAAGAGAGCAAAAGGAAAGGAAAAGGGAAAAGGAAGGCAAGCAATACATCATTCCTGGATAACAAATAGAAGAGAGTGTACAGAAGTAGTAGCCTGGTGGGGAAAACCCAGTTTTGAAGGGCAACTTGGATATGTGTTTATCTGTTCTCATTCTCTACAAATTCCACTGAAGCTGCCTAACTTGAAAATGGCATAAATCTGGAAAAATAAAAAAGGTGTTGCAACAACAAATGACAATATAGGTCATCAAAATTTTCAAAGTTGGGAAACAGTTTTTTGAAATGTTTTATCCAAACAGAGGCATCATATATCCAGACACCTCCAGCACAGGATAAAGACCATAAGAGGACAATTCACTAGGTACTTATTTACTTAAAATAGATAGAAACTCTATTTCTCTCCATAAAGAAGAAGTTAGTAGTTTTTGTTTTGTTTTGTTTTTGACAGGCAGAGTGGACAGTGAGAGACAGAGAGACAGAGAGAAAGGTCTTCCTTTTTGCCGTTGGTTCACCCTCCAATGGACACCGTGGCTGGCGCGCTGCGGCCAGCGCATCGCGCTGATCCAAAGCCAGGAGCCAGGTACTTATCCTGGTCTCCCATGGGGTCCAGGGCCCAAGTACTTGGGCCATCCTCCACTGCACTCCCGGGCCATAGCAGAGAGCTGGCCTGGAAGAGGGGCAACTAGGACAGAATCCGGCGCCCCAACCAGGACCCGAACCTGGTGTGCCGGCACCGCAGGCTGAGGATTAGCCTATTGAGCCACGGCACCGGCCCTATCAACTAGTTTCTTAAAAGTAGGTATTACTCTCCTGGAACTGTATCTAAAATGGCAACAAGTTGTTGAGCTGAATACTATCCCAGATATCCTTAGAAAGCAATATTTCCTGTAAATCTTTTGAAGATTTACAGTTGTCATCTGTGGAGAAAAATCTCTCTTAAAATGGTAGAGAAATAGAGAGAAATGGAGGATATAAGATATTCCAAAAGGAAATTAATGCTGTAATATACACGTTCAGCAGTTTCCTATCAAATCAGGAATTCATTAAACTGACTTAAAAGTGAAAACATGACAGCTATGGCGGATGGTGGGTAAAATATAATGGTGGTCTCTTTCCTGAAGTTGTCTCATTTCTTCATGATAAGATGCTATGGATCACATGCATGGGTGCGTAGACTTAACTTCTGCCAGATCCACCCTCCACAAGTTCCCCTCTTATGTACCTCAATTGCTTCAACTTGCTGATGTTTCTCTCCTTCAATTCAAAGCCTAGCTATTCACTGAGTGCTTTATTATAGTATATGATATCAATAATCTTTGGAAAATGGCCGATTAGGAAAACTTAGTACTGTAAAATGTAAATAAAATTAAGCAATAGTATCCATACATGCAATATACTTGTAAGACCTAAGAGGGATCTAAATGAAATTAGACTAAAGGGAAGAAAAAAAATCACATATAAGCTGAGATATATTAGCTTTGTTTTTTTTTTTCAGATTCTGAATTCTCATACAACTGTGTATATCATAACAATATCATTAACATGGTGAAGGCTTGGTTGTTGGCAAAATTATCTAATATTTAATAGAATGTGAAAAATCAATGCCATCTCGCTAGTCAAATTGATCTGTTTCAGTTCACAATTGATCATAATGATAGGATTAAAAGTCAAAGGGATCACACAAACAAGACTAGTGTCTGCTAATACTAAATGATAGAATTAAAAAGGAGAGAATGATCCAATATGGGAAGTGAGATACACAGCAGACTCATAGAATGGCAGATGTCCTAAACAACACTCTGGCCTCAGAATCAGTCCTTAAAGCATTCGAATATGGCTGAAAAGCCCATAAGAGTATTTTAGGCATGGAAAGCCAAGACACTCTGGCAACTGTGATAGATATAAAAACCACAAAAATCAAACCTAATGAAAGATCTCTGTGAGTGAGATCCCTGTGGAAAGAACAGCCCATCAAAGAAGGAGGTACCTTTCTCTGAAGGGAGGAGAGAACTTCCACTTTGACTATGACCTTGTCTAAATAATAGATGTGTCAATAATAATGTGTCTAAATAAGATCAAAGTTGGCGAACTCAAAAGGCTTCCATAGCCTTGGCAACTCATGATAAGAGCCTAGGGAGATTACTGACGCCATAAACAAGAGTGTCAATTGTTAAGTCAACAACAAGAGTCACTGTGCACTTACTCCCCATGTAAGATCTCTGTCCTTAATGTGTTGTACAATGTAAATTAATGCTATAACTAGTACTCAAACAGTACTTTACACTTTGTGTTTCTGTGTGGGTGCAAACTGTTGAAATCTTTACTTAATATATACTAAATTTATCTTCTGTATATAAAGTTAATTGAAAATGAATCTTGATGTGAATAGAATGGGGGAGGGAGCAGGAGATGAGAGGGTTGCAGGTGGGAGGGAATTTATGGGGGGGGGGAAGCCACTGTAATCTATAAGCTGTACTTTGGACATTTATATTTATTAAATAAAAGTTAAAAAAAGAAAATACATGTATGTAAATAGGGTTGAAACTTGGGATGTGAGAAGGGGAAGTCAATGATTTATTAGCCATAATCAATACCTAATATTAAGCATATGACCTTGATTTAGTTTAAAATTATCAGTTATTTTTATAGCTTAAAATAAGAAATCCTACCATATGTGTAAAAAAAAGAATATGAAAAATCATGAACTATAAGTACTTTCTAAAATCCTAAGTTAACAGTTCTCAAAGTCCTTAAAATTAACTAGATCAAGAGAAAAATTACTTGAGTTTTCTTTTCATCTTCCATACATATTAATACAGAGTTAAAAAAAAGGAATACCTATCTCCATTGCAAAGACAGGGAAAACATAATATAAAAACCTAACTAAGCTTTCATTTTGATGTCACTCTGTGTCTAGATAGGCAATCAATATATTAGTTGAGTATGCCTTCAAGTGTAAAAACATATCTTATAAATTTTGCCTTTTATTTCAGTTCTAATGAGTCCTGTATCCTTTGGAGATAGTTATATAGAAGTAATTACTGCCCATTAAATATTAATTGCTTATTTTTTAGCATTACTACAACTAAGATGAAAGAACAGTAGCATCTGGAAATAAAATTCTCATGAACAGTATCAGTTTAATAAATATAAAAGTTAATAATATATCTCTAATGTCTCCAAATTTATCTCGAAAAGAAAAGATACATATGTGATTCAGTGTAAGTAGGTCAATATTTACAACATATGTCAATATGGACTCACGAAATCAGCCCTAATTCTGATGCTACTCTAATTGCTACTTACCCAGAGCCAATGATTCCCTTTGGCTGAGTCACCAGTAAGGCCCCAGTAGTTATATTCAGAACATTCTTTAATACACCAGTCTGTTGAGCAATGATGAGTTGGTGAGCCAAATTCTGCAGTTTGTTACTTGACAAGGATGAAATCAGTCCAGTGTTCTTTACTGATGGAAGATCACCAATTTCAATAACAATCACTGTTGAGACAGTTTCCATAGTTGGTGGTGGTGAGACCTTGTGTGATGAGCTCATTTCCATCATGAGAGGTTTACGTTGACCAACTCTACTATAGTAACTGGCACAAGCCACCGTTGGGCAATTGCGCTTTCTTTTTGCTCTACTGTCAGCAATGGCTTTTAAAGTCCCTTCATTGCCAGGCATTGTATGAACAATTCTGATTTGGTTTTGGTGAAGGTGTAAGAAGTCTGTCAGTCTTTCAAGGATCACTATTTCCCAGCCATTTTCTACCACTGAAAACGTCACGGTGAAGGCCAAATGAAGGGAAACCCCTGAACGTATCTCAATGGGCTCTTCTCCTTGTAGGACAACATACAAAAAGTTATCCATAATGTTGAAATAGTTGGTACCTATACTCTCTTCCAGCAGTGAGGAAGCTGATTTACCCAAAGTTGGTGGAATAAAAGTTTCCCGTAAGAAAACATGTGGGCTCTGAAGCTCATAGTAGAATACGGCCAGAAGAAGCTTGGAGGTACTTTTGTTCCCCAACAAAAAAAATTGCAAAACTTCAGGAGTCTGATCCATAAAACAGACCTTGGTGATTTTCCCAGTGGGCAAAATGGAATAGAAAGTTGATACAGACCTAAAAGTAGAGCAAGGAGGGTTGGCATTTATATGACTAAAGGTGTCAACAAAACCATTAGTCACAGATACGACTGGATATAATTTCTGGATTGCCCAAGTTACATCAGCATTATCAAGAATTAGGACCACTTGGTCTGTCTGTTTGCAGATGAAACCTTGCATCAGTGGTTGGTATGTGCATTTCTTCTTTTCTCTAAATGTACCTATAACATAAAGGAAAATAAATAAGTGATAAAACATCCACAATCTCTCAAAAATGATTTTACTTTTCAAAAATTTCTTAAATTAAAAAACTTAATAGACATAAAATGTACATATTTATGGAATACACTGTGACATTTCTTTACTATATATTTCAGATGACAGTTACAAGGACGTGCCTGGGCTGCATCACATCATGGCTGACCTACATGTGTACTTCTATCTGTCCTATATGATTTCTCTACTATTCTCTATAAAGTCACTATAATTCATTCATTGGGGCTCCACTCTAATGACCTAATCTAATTTAATGGTTTTGTAATGGCCCCACTTTGAAACATCATTGCTGGATTAAGTTTTTACCCACTTAATACTATTAGCATAAGACTTTGGACTTTGAACCTCTGCTTGAGTTTTGGGAAGAAAATTATATTGAAACCATAGTAATCATTTCCCAGTGTCTGTATATCAAAAATCACATTATACATTCTATATGTGTACATGTGTATATAATACACACACAATTTTTATTTGTCAATTATACCTTGTTGGAGCTGGGAAAGAAATTAATGACCTACAAATCATTTTTAAAAAGAGAATTTAGGGCTGGTGCCGCAGCTCACTAGGCTAATCCTCTGCCTGCGTTGCCGGCACCCCGGGTTCTAATCCCGGTTGGGGCGCCAGATTCTATCCCGGTTGCTCCTCTTCCAGTCCAGCTCTCTGCTGTGTCCCGGGAGTGCAGTGGAGGATGGCCCAGGTCCTTGGGCCCTGCACACACATGGGAGACCAGGAGGTAGCACCTGGCTCCTGGCTTTGGAATGGCGCAGCGGGCTGGCCGCAACACACTGGCCATAGCAGCCACTTGGGGGGTGAACCAACGGAAAAAGGAAAACCTTTCCCTCTGTCTCTCTCTCACTGTCTAATTCTGCCTGTCAAAAAAAAAAAAAAAAAAAGAGAGAGAGAGAGAGAGAGAGAATTTAGAAAAAGAGCCCAACAAAACCCAGTAAGCAAAAGAGAAGAAGTAGAGAAAAGTAATAAACATGACAGTAAAAATCAATGAAGTAGAAAAGAACAACAATGAAACCAAACAACAGAGAATGTGAGCAAGATGGCTCTTGGAAAATATCGACAAAATTAGTTAACCTCTCAAAATTAAAGGGAGAATATAAATTGCCAATTTCAAAGATGAAATAAATATTAGCATTACAGATTCTACAGACAAAGGATAGGAAACAATTATAAACAAACTTTGTGATAATACATTCAACAATGAAGATGAAATACATTCCTTAGAAACTAACCAAATCAATCCAGAAAGTTTGAATTGCTCTATGTCTCTAAAAGAAATTGGGAGCCAGCATTGAGGCAAAGCAGGAAAAGCTGCCATTTGCAATGTCGGCAACCCATATGGGCACTGGTTCATGTCCAGGCTGCTCCACTTAATCCAGCTCCCTGCTAACAGCCTGGGAAAATCCGCAGAAGATGGCCCAAGTACTTGGGCACCTGCCCTCCATTTGGGAGATGTGTGTGAAGCTCCTAGGCTCCAGGCTTCAGCCTGGCCCACTGCTGGCTGTTGCAGCCATATGGGAAATGAATCAGCACATGGAAGATCTCTCTCTCTGTCTTTCCCTCTCTTAGTGTAACTCTTTAAAATAAATAAATCTTTAAAAATGAAATTGGATTAATTTGCATGCTTAATTACAAATTTAAATGAAAACTGACTTATCAAATATAAAGCAATATTCACTTTTTAAAAAGATTTTTTTATGTGTTTGAAAGGCAGAGTTACAGAGTGGCAAAGGCAGAGAGAGAGAGAAAGAGAAAGAGGTCTTCCATCCTCTGGTTCATTCCCCAGATGGCCACAATGGCTGGAAGTGGGCCAATCCAAAGCCAGGAGCCAGGAGCTTCTTCTGGGTTTCTCATGCTGGTGCAGGGGCCCAAGCACCTGGGGCACCTTCTACTGCTTTCCCAGGACATAGCAGAGAGCTGGATAGGAAGTGGAGCATCCGGGACTTGAACCAGTGTCCATATGGGATGCTGGTACTGCAGGTGGCAGCTTTACCTGCTACGCCACAGTGCTGCGCCCACAATATTCACTTTAACAAAGCACTTTGCTCCCTATCATCAAACAACATTAAAACCCTGACATTAAATCAAAAGTTGTTTTCAAAAGCATGGCAGAAATTAATTGCCTAATTTTAATGGCCATGGAATGTGTGCTTTAAGATCCTAATGCATGACTCTGTACTACAGTTATATTCTTCCCAAATAGGATATAGTAAGGTGAAATATCCTCATGGAAAATCTTTCAAGCATGCTGATTCCCCTGGTATAAACTCGATGGCTTACTATCCTTCCTTTATTCCATTATTTCCAACCATGTCGATGTCATTGATTAATAATTCACAAAGCTCTCTGCCTTTGTTTTTCCAGCTTCTCATCTGGGACATAAAATGTCTCTTAAAGTGACCTCTATAGATTGCTAAATTCTTAGAACTATCTCTCAACAAAAATTATCATTCTCTCAGTTGACATGATTCCCAACCATTCTGTGCTACTATGTGTTATTTAATAAATTACAGCTTAGTAGGCATCAGTGCCCTTAAGGGGTTACTTCTGAAGACTACACATCTCATGTTTATATTACCACAAGGTTCAAATCCAACCTGAAACTGAGGAAATTCCTCAACATGTAAGGATTGATTGATATGTAACGATCTTTTCAAAATTCCTATTCTTCAGATCATCTTACACAATTGCCAGTTGTCTAGTTGTAAGATTATTATCTGTAGCTCAAATATAATTTTAAGCCAAGTCATAACAATAATGATTGTGTATATAACAAAAATTGATTGTGACCCTCAAATGATTCCTAGTATGGGTATATGATAGCTCAACACTTTTAGAAATCTATTTCATATGAACCCATAAGACTGAAATCATGCCTTACTATGTTGACATGAATTTTCTTCTTCTCTTAAAGCATATAATTTAATTGCCTACAAAATTTCTGATGTGATATGTTTTTGTGAACAATTCACTCACTCCTTCAATAAATATACAGGCTGGAATATGAATTTTTAACTGTACTTTCATTCCTAGTGAGAGATGACTTCCAAGGCCAAAATAACAAAAGTGGGCTATTAATAATGTGGTTTGAGCAATTCCCAGAAACTTTCTTAGTAGAAGGTATATCTTTAAAGAGGTCCAGTGTCAGAGGTATTTTTATTTATTTACTTATTTTTGCATGTTCTACCCAGAAGCCAGCACACTATAAAGACTGGTCCCTCACTCCATCTCTGCCCTCAGGAGCCAACTCTCCCTATACCCCTATTCGGCAGTGACACTGGATGGATAAGAATATGACTGATCATCTGTGTTGGAGAGCGGGCACAGAAAAGGCAGGATCTTAAGAGGGAGAATAAGAGAAAGGAGGATAAAGGGTTCAGATTTGAAGAGTCCCAACGGGCCTGGATGTGGCAGCAAGAAGTCACCATCTCTGCCGATGGCGCACGTTGCAAAGTACATGTGCACCCTAGATAGCCTACCTCAGACTCAACACCAAGCTCAGAACTAGGGGATAGGGTAGGAAAAACCACAAATCTACATGACCCCTGGGGATTTTGTGTGAGTTAGAACTGAAGTAAGAAATTGCATAAACATCTACTTGGATTATGTGTGTTTGCTTAACTTGCTAACAACAAAAATATGGTACTATTTCATCTCTCTCTTCAATAATAAGCAGCTACCTGGCTTATTATTATTAAGGACTGTGCTGGGATTAGGGACTAAAGTCCAGACACACATGCTTCTCAGTTAACAATTCACATATTTAAACTTTGCCAATCAGCTTCTTGATTTCCAATGACCTAGCTCAGTGCCGATACATTAATTGTACCTATTCATAATTTCTTATTTTTATACTTTAAACTGCTGTGTATGAACAGCCTACTAAAAAGGGTCAAATCATACATTCTTTACAACTTTTGATATCCTAGGAATAGTATTGTCAAAATATGTAATAAATAATAATTATATTTTAAAGCTACCTAGGCTTATAAAAGAAAATTCTCTAGCCCTGTGTTTCTCAGGAGTCAGAGTTGGAGTTCCTTTGACCACAGTATGAGAATGAAGATTAGTATGTGATTTCTCTATTTATAAAAGAGATAAGACTGCATACAAGTAGAATTTATCTACTGGGGAAAAATTATACAGTACATATATTATTATGCAAACCCCTCAAATCCTCCTTTTTAGAAAGGAAGTTGAAACAGACAGAATACAAATAAAATAATCCCACCAAATAATTATGTAGTTATTTTTGGCTTTATAACTCTATTTCTAATAGGTATTTCAACCTTGAAGTCTTGACAATCAGGATTATATTCAAAGGAAATATCCTACCTGAGCTGAAAAGTAGGTCTTTAAAAATAATAAATCTTTAATTTTATTGAAGTAAATAATCTAACAATCAAAATCAAATTTTGAGTAGCAGCTAAGGCTTAGGTATGATGATTCAGAGCTCCTTAAAATATACCAGGGTGGGTGGGCGCAAGGGGGAAAATTGTTGCACTTAAACACAAACAGAAATTCTGCAGGAGAGATGTCATCAAAAGGGAGAGACTTATGTTGGACGGGGTGGATGACAGACAGCAAGCTCCTTGAGAGGCTAAGAACAGAATCCAGAGTTCTTTTAAAGTAGGTGGGATGGGATAGGCTGGAAGACTTTGTCTTTTCCATGCGGTAGGAAAGAAGGCACAGTGTTTGCACTGGTGGAGGCGGTTGGGAGGTTGAAGGCACACTCACCTGCTTAGAGGGAATGGGAGTGTGAACCAAGCAAGGTCATCAACTGAACTGCAAGTGAGGGAGGGTGTTGAGAGTTGAAATCAGAGGAGCAAGGGTGCATTGAATGTTTGTGAACTGAGAAAACTTTGGGGCATGCACCGTGGTGCTTCCTACCCAGCTCCCTGCTGGTTGCCTGGGAAAGCAACAGAGGATGACC